AAATTCTCTGTACAGAGCGTTTATGCGGCGCGGAATATGAATAAGCTGAAAATGATGATGATGATATTAGTATCAACCAATCTATTCTCGGTCCCTTACTGTATATTAACATTATATTATTAAGATTAATCTCCTGTCAATTAAATTAGTTTTTTAAATATAGTTTGAAACCGATGCATTTTACTAATCTAACAATTTTGCAATAATTATCATGAGCGATCATGTGCAGTTCTTTGGTTTAGTAGTTTTCCTGTCCGGGATGGAGGAGTGAAAAATCGTACTCCAACTAATTAATATTATTTAATTTTGTAGAATGTGAACTATTGAACTATTTCACTGGTGCACAAATTTGATTAGGAGGAATTCCGAGAAGTAGTGTATAGGCCAGACATGTTGATAACGGATCAGCTGGTTTGCGGAAAACATAGATCGTTAATTAATTGTTGTAAATATTTAAGAATATTTTCAGAAAGTTTGTACATCTATGGATACTATCGGTCTTGCATACAGGAGTCCCTCTTTTTTTTTAATGCCAAATTTAATGATTCAGTGAGTATCAAGAAGATGTAAATGATCTATAGTTCATATCAAATAAACTTTTCGTCACGTGATTAAGCTTGACCGGCACAGCGTTGTCTACTTTTACATATTTTCTTTTAATCAAGATATTTTAGGAAACAAAAATAAATTAGTGATAAATATATAAACAGTTATTATTTACATCAATAAAACTATCCTCCTTAACAGCAGTTAAGGGACTTAAAGGGCCATTACTACCGCTTTCCCGTTCAAAATATGCTAATAAGATTGCGATGAGTTTTTTGCAGCGCCCTATTAAGCTATCTTGTACCACTTAGCACTAAAAGAGGTTATATTTTTTCCATAGCAACTATTAAAATTGCCTTATATCTATCAAAAATAGTAGATAAAATAGAACTTTAATCGCAAGGGTAGATTAAATGCAAAAAACAGTGCAAAGAAATTTCACGACATCTTCTGGGTTTAAATTTTTTTACTTTTTGGTTTTGTAACCGCTACATGACTGCTTCAAGAAAGCTATGAGCTTGCTATATCTACAAAGTTTAGATGTTACTATACTACTACGGAAATTTTTTCAGCATTAAATAGTACGACAATAAACTGGACGGCTGCATTTTCTTTGATTTTTCAGAAAAATATGCTAAATGTATGTTTTCACTTGATCTTTCTTCTCGCACGTTTTTTAATTGCTTCCATTTTTGAAAATGTTTGTATTCCTTTTCATAAGTTATTTGGGATTTAAATGGAAGTAGTTTGGATATGGCGTTTGCCGCCTCAGCCTGAATATCTGTTGGTAATTTACTTATTTTGTTTTGAGCTATTTCTGGCTCCAATTCAATCAGCAATCGACACGAAAAAGAATTAAAAAATATTGACTCAAAACTGACAACTAAAGAGACAGCTTTATTTATTTGTCAAATTACATAGAAACCAACGCCAACCCAGCACAATATTTTTTCTCCTCGTAATCAATTCCTTGAAATAATAATTTCTGAATATTTTTTAAAACGTAACTCGCTATGGAAAAAATATTGTTTTATACACGACGATAAAATTGCATTATCGTCTCCCGAAACTAATTCACTCGCGATTTCATCGCTCGTGAATTAATCTTTTCGGTCGGCGATAAAATACCATTATACCATTATACATCATACTTTTATGCGGTAGGCGTTAAAATGTCTTTTTTATATTGTCAGTCACGTCGCAAAAATCAATACGTTTGTGACGCTTGAAAAAAAGATACTTTTTGTCACTCTAATCTCTTTTCCCCTGTATAAGTTTTACTATATTATAAGTTGCTAATTGTTTGTTTACTACTTTCAGAGACACATACATAATTTTTTGTTTTGTCTAAAAGAAACAAAACCAATTAAAAATCAAATATAAATATTTAATAACGAATAAATATGGGTGGTTCCACACTAGCGAAAGTTCGCGACACAGTAATATCCCAGCGTGCCATTGGTTCCTTGTTTCTAGCGCATGCCCACTACCTTCACCCTTCTTTTTAATTCTCCAACGAAAATATCAACGGCGATCAGTTGGTTCAGATCGGTTGCGTGGCATTTACCAAAAAAAAAGTCGTTTCTTTTAAACAACAACAATCACTTCATGACTCTTGGGATTTTTGTTGCCATTTTAAGCTTGCGCGCTTCAGAAATTGACATTCAGTGTTATTGCTGTGATATATATGAGTATTTGTAGTCAGAAACCTCTTTTTAGTTGAAGTGAAACATGGGAGGTACTTAACAAGCTCAAGATTTGTGATATAGTTTGGGTAAGTGTATGGCTCAACTTTCGTTTAGCTGAAATCGGTTATGTAGAGATATATTTGTTTATTTAGTATCTGGAAGCCTTTCCAAATTGAAAGTCACGAAACTTTTTCTGCAGAAATGCATAATTTACCATAAGCATAACCTTACAATGGAATCCAGACATACAGAATACAGGGTGTATTTAGTAGCATAAAATTAAGGTAATTGGTTAATAATTACTTTAAAATATAGGTATGTAACGACTTAAGTAATATGGTTTATTGTTTTGTTGCATAATTTTAAAATATATGATAACCATCCCTTGTTATTATGTCCATTACATTATCATTAAGAATAATTACAATTTAAGAATTTTTTAAAATTGTAAATGTATAAGTTTTAACTAAGAATCTAGTCAATTATAGTAAATATTATTATGTAAACAAAGCTTTATAGGCCAGATTTTGAGTCAACACGGACCTAAATAATAAAATCTTTCAAGAATACTGACCCGTTAACTATTAGATATTTTTTATATCTGAATATTTTTTATAGTTTCATATATTTAATTGTTTGTGTGTATAATTATTTATGTTTTTTAAATATCTTTCTTGGTAACAGTTTTACTTATATTGGTGGTATTTTCTAATTGTTGATTATAATATTTCTATGAATATTGATTAGGTATATAAAAATTAAAAAAAAACTAGAAATAAGAATTCTGTGCTACATTAATTTGTATGTTGTGAGTAAGGTTTTTTTCTCTGTATTGCAGCCTTGATAAAGACGAAAATACACGTCGAAACGTCGGCAATTTTTTAAATAAAAAGTTGTTTATTTCCTGGTCCTAAACCTGCGAACGCCATTTCATCTATAACATAACGACGCAAATCTACCACAGTATATTGTTTTATATAAAAGTGTGAATGAGCTTTAGAAAACATTTATTTGAGGCTTTTATACAACAAACGTAAAGCTAATTGTTTTTTTAGTTTAAATTGGCAAAAGAACACTAAAATCTTTATTAACAATTAAAAATATAGTGGAAACTATAAAATATTAATTCCTTAGAAAAACTAGCATATTTTTATTATAAGATTCATATCGTATTTTTGTTATTATAAGTGAAACTTCTTTACGCGCGCTGGGAGTAAAATCTCAATGCCGTGACACACGAGCTAGTGGTAACGGCTTAAAAATACGTAGTGATGCTTAAAAATACGAACTTTGTGAAAGCGAATTAGATTATTACGCGTAAAAAATTATTTGTTACACGTAAGAAATAGTTTTTTTAGTGATGCGACGTGTATTTGTGAGCAGTCCACGTGTTGCACAACGCTCAATGGAACGAAATATGCTGGGAATAACCAAGAAAGACCGTAAAAGAATAGAGTGGATACGACAAAAGACCCAGGTAATAGATGTCATCCACAGAATCAAATCCCTCAAGTGGCAATGAGCAGGACACCTGGCAAGAAGGACCGGCAACAGATAGGACACAAAAATTACAGCACCATACCCACAAGGAATTAAGAGACCTAGAGGAAGACCAGACCAAAATTAGCAAGGATAACTTGCTCTAGGGTTGTCAACTTTCAATATAAAAAATAGAAGATGAGAGGGTAAAAAAAAGGCACAGGCGAAACATTTTTTAAAAGCTCGCCCAAATGTCTAGATTTGCCAAAAAGTTATGTAAACGGTATGCGATTGATGGTCTTTCTTACTTTTGTAAAAATATTGATACTCAAAAGCAAACCATTTTCAACAAAACTTTTTCCAAACATAAGCTAAAAATAAGTAAACATAAAATAGTGAAATATGTTTAACGGTTCCACAAATATTTCTCCATTTTCTTTTCTGTACAAACGAGTGGGAGTGGGAAAGAGACAGACTAACAATTTTTTAAAGCACTGTGGCGATAGACGAGACTAGAATATTTTTTAGATTTTGAGTTTGGTATGTAAAAAAGAGGACTTTTTCAATAGGTGAGAAAAAAGAGGACAGTGATCCTCTGGAATAGAGGACGGCTGGCAACCCTAACTTGGGCCCGCATAACCAACAATAAACAACAATGGGCATAAAGAGAGTGTGTAAATATGTAAGGGGAGGCTACAGCATAATTGGAAATGATTGAATAAGCTGAGAATGATGATGATGACCCAATATTAGTGTTAGTAATTTTCAGTTAGTAGAAATAGTTAACAAACTTTTAACTTTTTTCACTAATTATACTTCACAATTAGCGAGTAATGTCCTTTTGGCCTTTCATTTTTTTTGGCTATCCGTCAAGAGAAATTGTGGTTAGAAATAAAAAGTTCTCTATCTAGAAATAAAAAGTTCTCAAGCTTTCTCTATGGATACAACTGTTTACCGCAATCTGTTGCTAGGATATTCTCTTAATTTGATTTTTTTTGACATTGTGAATGATTATTGTATAATTAAAACCACTAATATCGAGGTTCTGAATGAAGCTTTATGGGTAGCATTAGCATTAAAGTACCGACACTTAAGAACAATAGCGATAAAACAACAAGAGCCCCGAGAGAGACGATGGGTGGTTCTACACTAGCGAAAATCACTCGCCATTGGCTTCCATCGGCCGTTCGAAAAATTCGGTCGAAAATCCGAAGATGCCGGTCGGTATTGGTCCTGCGAGGCGCAGCCGCCGCAATACTGCTGCCGATTGCCGATCGCAGGCCGATTCAACAGCGATTCAGTCAGTTCATTCAAGTCGGTAGCGCGTACAGCACTAGAGAAGCAGATCGCCGTTGCTCAGCCACAACGCTTACACAGCCCAATCGTCCACTTGTTGGTTCGACCAGACGTTCTTGTGACCGACGCAAAGTTTTTCGAGGTGTTCGCGCTCTCACTCAATTCTCCTGTGATACTTTTAATCAGTTGTTTGATATTAGAGGAACTGTTAATCCGCTGTGATATGTCAGAGACCTTAATAACTTCTGTAGTTGTATAGCTGTGATATTGATAATTTTTTTCGGTAAGTAATAGATTATTTTTTAATTTTGTAAAACGTTTTGTATCTCATTGCTTAGTAGAAAGTTAATTTTTGTTTTTACAATGATGGACCACTGGAATTAAAACATGCTGGTTATAATTTGGTCCATAAATTGAAAAGTTAAAGCTTTCTGGTAGATAAGGTTAAAAGAATATTATACCTACGAAGATATAGTTATAACATTACAAAAAATAAATAAATCTGCATAGAACAAATCAGTAAAGACAGAATTTGTTTGGACAGAATTAAAAAGTCAGCTTTAAATGCATCTTCTTCACTTCATCATCATCATCATTTTCAGCTTATTCAACTATTACCAATTATTGTGATCCTCACTTACACACTTTCTTTGTAGTTGGGCCCATTGTCGTCTAATGTTGGCTATGTTGGTCCAAGTTATCCCTGCTAATTTCCTAATATCATGGTCCTAACTCAGGTTCGGTCTTCTTCTAGATCTCTTAATTCCTCGTGGGTACCATGCTATTTCTTTGTGATCCATCTGTTATCCGTTCTTCTTCCCAGGTGTTCTGCCCATTACCACTTGAGGGATTTGATTCTGTTGATGACATCTATTATCTGGGTCTTTTGTCATATCCCATTCTATTCTTTCACGGTCTCTCTTGGTTTTTCCACATTCTCAGCATATTTCGTTCCATTGAGCGTTGTGCGACCTGCAGTTTCCTTATGATGTCCGTTTTTAAGTGTCCAGGTTTGGCATGTATAGGTCATGACTGGTAGTACACATTGGTCGAATGTTTTCTTCTTTAGATAGAGTGGCGTTCTAAATTTGAATATAATTGAGTTTCTTCCATAAATACTCCATGTTATTCACTATGCTCTTTCACTTATTTACAGATAAATGAATCATTCTTCTTGTTCTAGTTGAAATTTACTTGAATTTTTTTTCGAAAATGTTACTTCTATAGCCATTGCTAAGCTAACGTTGTCATTAAGGTGCATCAAAAATCCGATGGTAATAATTATTATTGCAGTGATTCCACAACTGACCAACACAATATCTAGTGTGTGAATGTAGATGTTGTTCATATTTATCCAGGTAGTTAAAACTACCATAATTGCACGACGGTTGTGAAGTCTTTACGAAATTATCTTTGCTCAGCCACAACGCTTACACAGCCCAATCGTCCACTTGTTGGTTCGACCAGACGTTCTTGTGACCGACGCAAAGTTTTCGAGGTGTTCGCGCTCTCACTAAATTCTCCTGTGATACTTTTAATCAGTTGTTTGATATTAGAGTAACTGTTAATCCGCTGTGATATATCAGAGACCTTAATAACTTCTGTAGTTGTATAGCTGTGATATTGATATTTTTTTTCGGTAAGTAATAGATTATTTAATTTTGCAAAAAGTGTTGTATCTCATTGCTTAGTAGAAACTTTATTTTTGTTTTTACAATGATGGACCACTGGAATTAAAACATGCTGGTTATAATTTGGTCCATAAATTGAAAAGTTAAAGCTATTGAGTATTCTGGTATATAAGGTTAAAAGAATATTATACCTACGAAGATATAGTTATAACATTACAAAAATTAAATAAATATGCATAGAACAAATCAGTAAAAATGGAAAATTGATTTTCTCCATAGATGCTTCTGGACAGAATTAAAAAGTCAGCTTTAAGTGCTTCTTCCTTCATACATAGGTGCTAATAGATCCGCTCTCTCTACTGACCATAACATCCAGAAAAGGTAAACAGAAGTTTTTCTCTTTCTCTATCCTAAATTGGATATTCGGTGAAATGAGGTGATTGAGAAAGACATCCAACTGTGATACTGAAACATTGTTCACCACATAGAAAGAGGACCGTTGTGATTCAAGAATTTCGCCCATAAATTGGACTCTCAGAGTAACCACAGGCTCGGTCAGTCGCGCATCAAATGTCTCCCTGTTTGTATCCCCTGCAGTATGGTATCATTGAGCTTAATTTAATATTATGAAATAGTGGAATCCAGTATAGGCTTGGCGCATTTCAGTTGATTTCAAAAAATTACGACAGCAGCGCTCGTTACGTCAAAAATCAGAAGTTTTTGCTATGGGTTACAGTTCATATTGATTGCATTAAAATAATATTGAAATCGTGGCTTTGTCATAATATTTAAGTATTTTAGTTTTTTTTGCTAGTGCTGTTATTGAAACTATAAACACTCAGGTAAGAGGTTTGTGTGATGTAACTCTGTTCCGGTTAGTAAAAAATGAGTAAAAAAAAATCCGAACTAGGTGTCGCGCGTCGTCGTGTTGTTTCGTGACAATTTCAAATGTTAATAAAATTGCCGAAAAAATATTAACGCGTAAAGGAGAGCGTAATTAGGGCGTTGTTGGGTGCAATAACATTCAATAACTCAACTTTTTCGGATATTCAACTCTCCCGAAACAACATTTCATATCTTCATAGTTTTTTACACCGATTTGATCAAAAGCTAAAATAAAAATGGATTCAACCATTTCGACAACGCAAGTGAATAAACAAAGTGCTAGTTGCATAATCAAAAAATTAAATATACATATACTATGAGAGGATAATATATAATTTGCAATATTAATGGTATACTTTTTTTAATTAACTAGTGATTAAATAGTTTATAAACATCTTTTAAAGTTATAATTATGTACCTTTAAAAAAATTCGTTATAGCTGAAAGAGCCAAGAGATTATGACTCCAATAGCAAAACCGATGCGTAAAACTATGCTCGCTACTATAGTTGAAGTCATCTAAAAAGTGTTTTAGCTGGAATAATAAATTATAATACAAGTTAGAGCTCATGAAGGTTTTAAGAATTTTTAAGAATAATTATATAGTAAATTTTTCCTATATTCGCTATTTAAACCCGTGTAATTGTGTTATATATTAGTTGTTTACGATATTCTCCGATGGTGGCAGCACCAGTGGAGAGTGGACCAAGCCTATAGAATGTATTATGTTCTAATATGTATAGTTCCTGGTGACCAATTTACGCAAATTCGTTTCACTAGTAAATGAAATATTTTTGCGTTTTATTTTAAAACCATGTGAATAGCCGATAAATGCGCTACAACTTATTTTTACTTCGAGCCAAACTACACGTTGTACGTGTGCGCGTGTAAGAGCGAGACAGTTAATATTTTGTTATCTTCCTAAACGCTCGGTTTTTGGTTGATTCGGCCTTGGCAACTGTCCAGCGTATATTTTCTTAAACAATTTGAATAATCGTCCAAAACGGTCTAAATTGGACCCATTAGCGGGATCATTGTAATATATTGTAATGCCAGATTAATTCGTATATTCTTTCGATTGAGTTTTAAGTGTAGAAATTGCGCGTTTTGTTTGTTTCGGACATTTTTATCAAAGTTATTTGACGAATTCGTAGAGTATGATAGTGAAAACTAGTTAAAGTGGATTGATTAATGTATGGTATTGAAGTTTACGGTGGAATTTACTGAAAAAAAGTATGTTAAATAATATTTTGTTTACTGTAGGTCAACGAACTGAGAAAAATATACCAAGTATATCTACAGGTCCAATCGGCAAGTAATTTGTTTGAAGGTTCTAGATAATATTTCGTATTTCGAACAGGGTTGACTTAATGATACTTGACTTTTTTTACAATTGCACGGCAGCATTGATTAGTAATAATTAATATTTAGTAATTAATAATTACTAAATTAGAATACTTTATTCTTAAGTGCACTATTTAAATTTACTTAGTAATCAAAATAGCACTATACAAGCACAAATTAACGAACTAAATACAGCGAGCAATAAAGTAGGTCTCAAAATGAATTTAGCAAAACTAAAGTAATGTGCAACAAACTAGTAGGTAGAAAAGACATTTTAATAAATAACACCGGAAATAGTAGAAAAATATATATATTTGGGACAACTAATAAACAGCTCCGGATCTCTACTACCACTACCAGAAATCAATAGAAGAATTAACTTAGCATGGAATATTTATGGAAGAAACTCAATCATATTCAAATCTAGAATGCCACTTTATCTAAAGAAGAAAACATTCTACCAATGTTATCTAACCAATGTAACTAATGTGTAATATCCAACTGGCATTGCATGTAATCATATCAATCTCTATGTATAGACATTATTATAGGTACTATATCGTTACGACAAACGTCCTTGTAGCTTTGTTAAAAAATAAATTCAGGCAACATACAATATTAAAAAATATAATAAAGAAGATTTTCTAAACTTATCTATTGTCATTTAAAATAAAAAGACAAATGAAATATCTGACCCTCGATATTCATTAAGACACAGAACAACAAAATTTTTTTATGAGCTATGAAGTTTTCTTCAATAGTTTCCAATATACAGATTCTTTAGTGATCACAAAACTATTTTACCTTCACAAATGAAATACTTAAATTATATTAGTCATAAATTCGAAAAGAATAGAGAATTACATGTAGAATTTCGAAAATTTATATTCTCTAATACCTATTATAAACTCGTTAACCATTCAAATTTTATTGACTGTGGCTATTTACCGAAAGATAATTTCAATGTCACTGTAATTTTATTTACTATAATATGAATCTACCCGGTCCGGTTTGTTAGTTTGTTTAGTAACGATTGATAAAAATGTTTTTTGGCATTTACTGATGTCAAAAAGTTCAGATTATTTTAGTTTAAAACGTTAAGTAATCGACGAAATAAGTTTAAAAAACATTTGTAGTTTGTAAACTTGTGTATGTTATACATTATATTAAATTAAGGATAATGATTTTATTTATTATTAAAACGTTACAAGCAAAAATAAATTTCTCAGTCATAATGACAGTGAGATATTATTGGAGATGCAATATTTTTAAAAAAATCCCGATTTCATTATTCACTAAATGAAAATTGGTGATTTCTTAAGTCAAGCGTCTAGCCGCTACCAGTAGCTGACTATCCAGTCGACACCAAATTGCAACAATGAGTTTTGATTGCTTCGATTTTCCGTTTTTTTGTCTCGATTTTAA